CCCCCCCCCCCCCCCCCCCCCCCCCCGGGCTGTCAGCAGCTCTTCTTCAAAATGAACTTACAATTTTCTTTTAAATCTGGAAAGACAATGAACACTCCCCATTTCCTTTAAACAAATCTTTAACCGCAGTCTGAAGCCTGTTCAGTTTCCCAGTTCCACCGTCTCTTTCCTCATACTGTGTCTTAGTTGGGGCACTAATTTTCAATGCGCCGCACGGAGCAGCGTCTGTACCGACGCCGGTTGACAAAGGGGAAGGCCCGCCTTCCTGTCACTTGTCTTCGTTGACTCGGTTCTGACTCCCAGCGGATGCTTCCTCGAGACAAGAGCGTGATTGCGAGGGATGGAGACAACCCTCTTTTTGTGTGGGTTGCAGACCACACGTGTGTGTGTCTCTCTCCCCCCCCCCACAGAGCGTGCCTTTATTGTCTGACGCTAGCAGACAGTGGCGCATTGAAGCCCAGCCAGGAAACGAAAGACTGCGAGAGCTCGCCTGCCTCACACGAGTTCTAAGTCGCTAGGCGATTTTTGAGGAATGCTTTAATTTCCATCGCTGAAATGTTTCAGATAGACAGATGTTTCGGGGCTTTGGCAAGCCCAAGTTACTTCTCTTTTCTTTCCCCTTGCAATTGTTGCAAGGGGCTCGAAGACGTGGACGCCGCCACAGATCAGATTGTCGCCCGGAGTCAGGCTTCAACAGGCCTGGCAGCTGGAAACCTTTGAGTCAAGACAAGGTTCCCGTCATCTCTTTTGAGCCAAGATGCTGTTAGTCATCTTTCTCACGTACAGCTTGGTGAACGCGATTTGGGGGGGGGGGGCATTGAGCCCAAACACCCTCATTTCCTATGCTTTGTTTCAGCATGAACTAGATGTTTTTTTAGACGAACTGAACATTTAAAAAGCAGTGGGCGGATAGCCTGATTTGGAGGAGAGAACTGACAAGCCAGGAGAGGGGTGTTTAACCTTAACCTCCCCATTCACCACTTTCTCCCCCTTGCCCTCCCCGAGCCCTTTCATCCCCCATCCCCCCCACCCCGGATTGGCAGTTTCCAGGTATGTTTTACTATAATTTGGAGAAAATGACCAGGTGAGAAGCAGCAGACAGTGATGGAAGAAAGCTAAGTATCCCCCCCCTTCCCAATCACACCTACTCCAGCCACCACTTAAAAACAAATGTTTAACACTTAATATAAACTAGCCAGGTCTCCTGCCAAATGCCCACTTCCACCTTCAAATATACGTAGTACATCTTCGGAGCTCCTCCAAGGAATTTGGAGCAGAATTGATGGTTTTCTCTGCTTCGTGTTAGCATCACAGAACCCTGTGAGGTAGGTTAGGCTAAGAGAGGATCTATCGCTCAGCAAGCTTCCACGACAGAGCTGGAATTTGAACCTGGGTCTCCCAGATTCTAGTCCAAAGTGGGAGCCAGTTTGGTGTGGCGGTTAAGAGTGGTGGACTCTAATCTGGAGAGCTGAGTTTGATTCCCCACGCCTCCGTGTGCAGCCAGCTGGGTGACCTTGGGTCAGTCACAAGTTCTCTCAGAGTTGTTCTCTCAGAGTTGTTCTCTCAAGAGTAGCTCTCGAAAGAGCCCCCACCTACCTCACAGGGTCTTTGTTGTAGGGAGAGGAAGGGAAGGAGATGGTAAGCTGCTCTGAGGCTCTATAGCCAGGATCTTTTGGTTTGTGAGGCAAATTATTTTCTTCTGGGGCACACGCACACACTCTTCGGGCAGAATAAAGAGTGCCTCCGCTGTTCCCAAACGGTTTGCCAGCCCACAGACCTCTGAACCAAATGCAAAAAACTCAAGAACTCTGTTTTCTCCCTCTCGCTGTCGGGGGGCTGTTGGCAGTAAGTCGGGGGAGCTGTAACTATGGGCCCAAGTATAAATCCAGCTCTTCTTCTTCTAGTCCATTGCTCTAACCTTTTCACCACACTGGCTCATTCATCATAAGGCCTTATATCCATGCTCATTATTCAGTCCAAAGATCACACCCTAATTTTGTCATTTAATAGTTGTTGGGGGGGGGGGGTTTTTACAAAACATGGGCGCAAATGCAGCATTCGGTGGGATCTGTAAGCTGCAGGCCCAGGCCACAGTTTGGCTGTTTACATTACGCTGAAATGAATGGGATTTCCGGCGGTCTACCTGGGCACGGGATCTCAGGCCAAAAGAGTGATAGCTGAACTCAGAATTCTGCATGGTGTGCGACCTCTTCCACGATGCATAAGAAAATGTGTTGTTTAATGAACCCCCTTCCTCGAAGCCTCCGTGGCATTGAAGAAGCATCCTTAGATGGTGTGGCACCATTAAAGCACAGTTAAAATAAATCTGCTTTTCACGCAGCCATTAGAACGGTCCTCCCAGCCACGGAATCTTTTCTCAGAAGAACTGTGTCCGGCAGCTTCCAGAGAAACAACTCTGACCTGAAATAGAAAGCGCCCAAAATGAATTGCTTTGCTCATGGACCTTTGTGAACCTCTCCTGATTTTCTGTCACTTTATCCGAACAATTTATATGAGGGGGGGGGGGGGGGTAAGTTCAGGTATTTTTCTCAAAGAAATGTTATGTAATTGTTATTTGACAAATTGAAGCCTTTCTTTTAAAAAAAAAAAAAAAGATTCTCTTTGCAGTCAAGGACAGCTAATAACATTGCAGGATTTGAAGGCTGAAGCGTTTCACGCAGAATAGAGAAACGGCCTGACTTCTACCCCCATCCCAGTGTTCCCCCCCTTTTTTGTACCCAAACAGCAAGACAGATTTGCTTCAAGGCTCAGAGCTGATACGCCAGCCCGGGGTCAGGTGTTTCCCCTCCAATAAAACTGCTTATAGAAAGAAACAGAAGGGGAAGGGGGCCTTTGCAGTGCGGCAAACCTTTGCCCCTGTTTTTTACAGAGGCTTCTGAAAATGTTGGTATGTGTTTAAAAAAGGGAGAATGCGCCCTCTGAGCCATGGAGTCTTGTGAGCGAAAATCCTACTTTGTGAGCTGCTGGCGTTAAAGTTTTGAGCGAGCGATTTGGCTGCTGCATAAATTAGTTTGCTCTGGAGCCCTCCTTCCTGAGCTGAGACACAAAATGTGTGAGCTGGAGGCTGAAAAACTGTGAGCTAGCTCACACTAACTCAGCTTAGAGGGAACATTGGAGGAGACCTAGTAAATTGATCCTGGCAAGGAGAGAGAACACATGCAGGACTGATTATTTATTTTTTGTTTCCTTATTGTGCCACCAAAAAAGCCATGAACCACCCCCATTCTGTGAAGCTAAGGGTGACTTGCATGTGTCTCCCTTCCTCCATGGTATCCTCACAACGACCCTGTGAGGTGGGTTAGGTTGAGGGTGACTGACGGGCCCAAGGTTACCCAAAGAGCTTCCACAGCAGAGCGGGGATTCAAATCTGAGTCTCCGACATCGCCGGTTTTGGTTGACTTTTAAGCACTACAACAAGCCGGTTCTCTTATTTTTACCCAGTAAAATGAGCAAAATATTGATCCTTGCCCGTCAGTAGCACAAGAACTACAGCAACACCTAGCACTCTGCTGTCATTGCAAAATATCTAGGTGCACATGGGAGCAGTGGAGTGAATAGCATATGATTGGCATGGTTTTATTCAGGGGTCATTTCCTGCAGGAGCGCACAGGAGTGGAGCTCCGGCAGTAAAGAGCCTAGGGGGCGGGCTCATGCAACAAGCCCCACCCCCTGCTCCCAGCAGCCCTCAGTCAGAGCAAGAAACAGCCAGGTAAGCTGCAGAGTCACCCCCCCAAAAAAAACAGTCCAGTGGCACCTTTAAAACCAGGTTTTATTCAGGTACAAGCTCTCCCTCCTCTGTGAGGACAGATCTGCACATCCCCCCCCCAATAGCTAGCAATCCAAAACAGTCCAGTGGAGCTTGAGCGGTGGGTGTTGCCTTCTGACACACTTCCGGTGATGTCGGGGTGTGGCATATGCAAATAAGTTATGCTAATGAGTTATGCTAATAAGCTCCTGCACCTCTTTTTCTACGAAATGACCCCTGGTTTTATTTCATTTGGTTTTGAGGTAGTATCCAAAGAAATACTTTGTGCTATATGTTGTACAGGGGAGGAAGATGGTGGGGGATACAGTTGCTTTGCACGTACGCAGGTGCAGCGAGGAGTACGTTCAGTGCACAAGGGACTGTTGTTCACTGGGAAATACCTTCCATGGGGTCCAAACCCTAAAGGTCTCCCCACCCCATGCTGTTTCACTTGTTGCGGTTTTGTGTTGGCAGGGAGTTTTGAACACACAGGAATATTCCAGTCTTTGGTCGTCGTCACCCCCCCCCCCGCCCTGCCATTTGTAGTGGTACAGCCCGTTCAGCATTCCCCGATTTCTACCACCTCATCTTCCTGCATGTGTGAACCAAAGCTAATGGCCTGGTTTTGTCTGGAGAAAAGAGGTGCAGAATTAAGCCAATAGAGTTCTACCTAGGCCTGTAAAGCTTCAGACTTTGGCTCTGTTCCTCAGCCTGACCGATTTGTCAATCAGGTACAGGCAGCACTGCTCTCACCAGCTCGATGACTTCTTAGCTTGTCATCGCCAGCTTCAGTGCAGACTGGTCGCTCAGACACTGCTGAGCATTCTTGTTTTTCTGGGGCCAGTTTTTTTCCTTTATCTCCCCGCCCCGAATGACTTCCTCAGCTGTTGTTCCTGTCACTTTTCTGCTTTCTGTCTACAGATCTGTAAATCGCAAGACACTAAAATGGCCACGTCGTGCTGCAGCCCCTCAGTCCCAGTTCACTTCAACATCCAGCAGGACTGTGGGCATTTTGTCGCGTCCGTGCCCTCTAGCATGTTGAAAAACGCTTCTGCGGAAAGCCAGTGTCCTTCCCGCGCTGTATCCGAGCAGGACTGCGTGGTCGTCATCACCCGCGAAGTGCCGCACCAGACTGCCGCGGACTTCGTGCGAGACGCCGTCACTTCCCATAAAGCTAAGCCGGAGCTGTATGAACGGCGGGTTTGTTTCCTCCTCCTGCAGCTCTGCAATGGGCTGGAGCACCTGAAGGAGTACAGTGTCATTCACAGAGACCTTTGCCTGGAGAACTTGCTGCTGGTACACTGCAAACCCTCTCCTGGCTGCAAAAGAACCAAAGAGGACAAGTCTCTGCCCAGGCTCATCATCAGCAACTTCCTGAAAGCCAAGCAGAAGTCGGGGCCCGCCGAGTCCAAGGTGAAAAAGAACCAGGCCCGGCTGGCTCCTGAGATCGTGTCTGCTTCCCAGTATAAAAAGTTTGACGAATTCCAAACCGGCATCCTCATCTACGAGCTTTTGCACCAGCCCAACCCGTTCGAAGTGAAGGCCCAGCTCAGGGAACAGGAGTACAGCCCAGATGACCTCCCCCCGCTCCCCGACCTTTCTATTTATTCTCGGGGGCTCCAGCAGCTCGCTCACCTGCTGCTGGAAGCAGACCCGATCAAACGTATCCGCATCACCGAGGCAAAGCGCATTCTGCAGTGTCTGCTCTGGGGCCCCAGGAAGGACTTGACGGAACAGACTCTTAACCACCAGGAGGCCCTTCAAGATGCCCTTCACAACTGGGTGGACATGAAACGGGCCTTGCTCATGATGAAGTTTGCGGAGAGGGCTGTGGATGCAGAGCGGAATATCGAACTGGAGGATTGGCTCTGTTGTCAGTATTTAGCCTCCGCAGATCCGTCTTCTCTTTCAAAGTCGCTGAAACTTCTTCAGCTGCTCTGATCTGTGTAGTGTTGTTTTTTTTTAAATGTGACATTGGGCTTTTCTGCATTCTCATTTCCCTTGCTTGTGTGTTCCTGTTGCTTTCGGGGGGGGGGGGTCTGTTCCACATGTGTTTTGCTCCCTCTAGTGGTCCATTTAATATTACATTCACTATAAAAAGGCAGGTTTTTATGCTGGACATGAACCGATGTAATATCGAATCGACCACTAGAGGGAGCAAAACACATGTGAAACAAACAAACAAACAACCCTCCGAATCAACAAGAACGCACAAGCAAGGAAAATGAAAAGTTGGAAAAGCCCGTCAGTTTCTTGGGGAAATTGAGTAAGAGTTTTCTTGGGGAAACCCGATGGAAAACGGTAGACATCGTGCGTCCCTTTGTGAAAGGACAGTAAAGTAAAAAAAAACGGGGTCATATTTTGTGCAGAAGCGTACATTGAAAGATCCAATACCCCATGTAAATTTCAGGATAAATAGTCATTGTGAGTGTTTGTAAATTGTAAAGAGATACAATGTACCATTTCCACGGAGTATTTTGCTTTCTAGATAATGAAAAGAGGCAAATTAAAAAAAAAAAAAGTGTGCTTTCCTATGCCGGATGGCTTTTCTCCAATTATAATGATTTGATGAGCAGAAGCGATCGTTTTTGGAATGCAAGTTTTATTTACCTTCAGGTTCTATAGAGATCTCTCTTGTTCTGACCCACAGAAGCCGGACCAAGAAACAAATCCACGGCAGATCTGTTCAGGCAGGAACACGCAGAAGTGGCTGGGTGCCATCCCAAAGTTGGGATGCTTATGGTTCCACACACACACACACACACACACACCAGCTCTGCTCACTCACTCACGCTCCTCCTCCCATCCCTACTCTCGCTCCACCCTGCGTGCTTGGCATGTCGACCCCATAAAGCAAAAGGGGGCAGAGAAGGAAGGGGAGGGCCGGGAGAGAAATGGTGCAGGGATGATGGGACAGGGATAGAAAAGAAGAACATAACCTTTAAAGGGGAAATAGAATGGAGACGATTGGTCGGGCTGGGGTGGAGAAAGGGGACGGATTGGGCAAAAAAATGCAGAGAGAAACAGAACCTTGGCTGAATGGGAGTCATTTCTGAGTTAAATACCTAGACAGATCTTGGCCACCAGCAGAGCACTGCCGGATTTTTACGGAGAAATGGAGTACGACATGAAGGGCCCATATTGGAATCACTTGCAGCAGACTGCGAAAAAGGAGTGCCTGAATAGCCCGTAGGTATCTTGGCCTGGAAATAGCCTATAAGTCGCCCAGGTGCAGAAAACTAAAAGCATTTTAAGGTCCGTTTCCTCTTGGTTTCGATTGGCTTCGACTGGAGTTAACCCTGCACGGAGGTTGCCCAGTAAAGTTACTACCTATCCTGGTAGGAGGAGCTGTTAAAAACTCCCCAAGTAGGATGACAGAAGATTCGGTGGCTCCGGAAACTTGCTCCCTGAGCCTGCACTACCCTTGTAACACTGACAACAAGCACAGATCCATTTCGTAAGGTGCATTTTCATTTCCTAACAACAGTGATTCTATGTGTTGGGGGGGGGGATGCTATGTTATTCAAAGGGTGGTGTAAGGTATGCATTGTTCGCTGCAGGAACTGTGCTTTCTAGTCTGAAGGAGGGCCTGCGGTCCGGTAAACATCCTTTCTCCTTCTCGAGACCTGCAGCGGAGCCGTCAAGGAAGTGTTAGCCCTTTGCCAGCCAAATTGTCTACAGAGGAAGGAGAAGAACAGTGGAGGCTTTGCATTGCCGGCTTCATGCCAGGCATTTATCCGTCACAGCATCTCTTGATTTGGACCGCTTCCAGTTTTCCCATACAGAATGGATGAATAGCCAAGGACAGGTGGGTGCATTTAAGAGTGCTGCGTTGGAAGGAACTGGGGGCAGGGGGTGGGAATTGTCAGACCGGGAAGGGGTCCTAAGGGAGGCTCTTATGCCCCCAGTCAGCCAGGGGGACCCTGCTTGCCTTTATCCTTCTAAGGATCTGGAGAGGTATTGGTTACCCAACGGAAATCCCCATTGAAAAGACATCCCGTTTGTTCCTTGGTGAGAACTGGTGTACATTAATATTTTAGAGAAGGCTGTTAGGGAATCGGCGTGGTTGTAGTTTACTGAGGCTAGAGACAGCTGGGAAGCTGGAGGCTGACGTTGACTCACATCACAGAGGCCAGGAGGGTAATCGGCGAGCGAGCCAGTTATCTCGTTCTCAGAGAATAACTTTGGCTGAGATGCAGAAAGGTAAAAGCGGGCGCTCGCTGGAGGCAGCTGGGCAGAGTTCAGTTGCACGACACCCTTATGGAAGGCCTCTGCCCCGGAGGCAGAATCGGGAGGAGACAAAATGAAACGGCCAGGGCTGCAAAACAGACTTTCTCGGCCCGAACCACACTGGGAATAAAGGCCAGAAGTTTACACAACTCCCACAGCCGTTGATAGTGGAGGTATGCCCGGACCTTGGAATCTCCCTTCCCTTGGAGTTTACATTCCACTCACTGTCTAGTCAGCAACAACTTTATTTTCAAGAACACCACTTAGGAGCCATTTTGTGCATGACAAGGCCGTAAACCCAGATTGGCCAGCGTGTGTACAGTTAACAAGAACCTGTGGCCAATCCCAGCTCCGCAATCCCCAATGTCTGTTGCAGGGAGGGAAAGGGAAAGGAGTTTGTAAGCTGCTCTGAGACTCCTTTGGGTAGTGAAGGGTGAGGTATAAATCCAGTCTCTTATTCTTTTTCCAACTGTGTTCTCAGAATGTATATCAAGGGAACTTTATTCTTGTCTTTTTTCATTTATTTTATTTATACTCTGCCTTCCTCCCCAGTGAGGACCCAAAGCAGCTTACATGGTTCTTCTCTCCACCATCTTATCCTCACAACAGCCCTGTGAGGCAGCAGGCTGAGACTGTGAGACCAGCCCAAGGTCACCCAGCAAGTTTGAGAGGAGAGTTTGAACCTGGATCTCCAAGATCCTGGTTAATTAATTAGTTAATTAGCGTATGGCAGTGTGTGTAGTATAGACAGGAGATCCTAAGATTGTCTGGCAGCCAGAAGTTGTAGCTCTTTTAGAGTTATGCACCACTAGGTGGTGAGCTAGACTTGTTTTTTAAGGCAAGAGAGGTTTCAGAGGTGGTTTGCCATTGCCTGCCTCTGCGTCACGACCCTGGTAGTCCTTGGAGGCTGCCCTTCCAAATACTATTCAGGGCTGACCCCGCTTAGCTTCTGAGATCTGATGAGACTGGGCCAGCCTTGGTCATCCAGGTCAATTCTCCAGGATCCTGGTACAGGATCCACTATGCCACTCTGGCTTTGCCAGCTGCTTGATTTCTAAAGAGAAAGGAGTTGAGATTCAGGCCTGCATGGGAACCTCTGCATGCTTCCCAAAAAGGAAGCCCTGCCCCTTAATTCCTTGGGGGAGGGGAGTTGGTTGGGAAGAGAAAGGCTTCTCGGCACATGCACAGAGATAAGTTTCATTTATTCTCATAGCCGAACTATTTTAAACAAAACGGAGAGAATATACATAGCTAATGTATATTGTGACCACACTCGCAGTGTGTTCTATATTTATATGTATGTGTTACACTTAGCACTGTCCAGGTGGGTTTGTTTTTAGAGGGCAAGAAGACGTCTGAAGCTGCCATTTTATGTATTTATTTACTGCTTAGAGTCCACTTTTCTTGCTGTGACTCTAAGCGGCTTATAACATTGAAAAGCAAAGGGGAAAAGAAAACAGTATTAAGATACTCTGTAAACAATGCAGAAATCTGATTGCAAAAGTTTGAAATCAGTACAGTACAAACATTAGAATGCATGCAGCGAGCAGTACAGTAAACTACGGCCCTGTACTAGACATACGACAAGCAGTGCAACAGATAATATCCCTATTCCCTGTACAAAAGCACCCTCCTAACAAATTCTGTTTACTACAACCCCCATTCCTTTAATAGCAGTACGCGCCTGAACATTCGGAAACAATGCAGGGCAAACGAGATAATACAAGAATAGGCAGGTCAAGATGGGAAGCTGTGTTAGCCTGTCTGCAGCAGATACATCTCACAAGGCTGATGGATTTCCATTCTGTACAACTAAATGCGGTGCCTTCCATGGAGACAGATCAAGAGGGGTCACCACGTTAGTCTGTCTGCAGCAGTAGAAAAGAGCAAGAGTCCAGGAGCACCTTAAAGACTTAACAATTCGTGGCAGGGAATGAGCTTTTGTGAGTCACGACTCACTTCGTCAGATACCGATATCTGAAGAAGTGAGCAGGGACTCACAAAAGCTCATATCCTGCCACAAATTCGGTTAGTCGTTAAGGCGCTATTGGACTCTAGCTCTATTCTACTACAATAGACAGTGAAATATACCCTTTATGAAGGCGTCCTCCTGGACCAGTTCCATTTGCTACAACCTTACTCCTTTAATAGTGCCCTCCTGAACAATTCTGTTTTACATGGTTTGCAGAGTGACAGATGTGTGGGAGCCACCATGGAGGATTAATAAGAGGGAAAGGGTGGGCTCAGCACCTCTCCTGCCAGGCATTTTCCCATTAAAAACAGACACACACACCCCTCCAATTGCTCTCCTCCACTCCCTAAAGTTTGCCCAACGGCAGATTCTTAAGGTGTATAGAGCCTTTGCATAGAAAATAAAAGTATGGTGAGGGAGATTTTAAGATTTACTGCAAGAACTAACACAGGCTGTTCCTTTCCATCAGCTGCCAAATCAAAACGGGGGCTCTCACTGACTGTAGTTATCAGCAGACAGTGTTTTAGCTTATATATATACCAGGGTTCTGTACCAGGGTTCAGGTGATGGGAGGGGGGGCATTTTTTCGTAACTGTTCTCCATCTCTGCAGCATCCATCAGTGATTGAATAGGACCCAGACCTGCATGCCTTCCCAAAGGGGGGGGGGGAGAAACCTGCACCGTTGGATCAGAGCCAAGGTCCGCAAAGTCCGGCATCCTCTTTCTACCAGGGCCTGGCAGTGTGCACACAAACATCCCTTCAAGTATTAGCCCAGTGGCACCTTCTAAGACCAACAAAGTTTAATTCTGGGTATAAGCATTCGTGTGCAGGCACAAAGCTTCTACCCAGAATTAAACTTTGTTGGTCTTAAAGATGTCACTGGACTCAAACTTTGTTTTAATCTAGCCCTTTAACTATGCAGACTTGGCTTGAAACACTGCACTGTGTTGCCATCTGGTGGACATTTTATAAAATACAACCATCTTGATTGCTATGGATGCTATGGGTCGTCCTCAGGTAACAAGTACCTACTTCTGGCACATCTGCTAGTGTGGGGGGGCAGCTTTGGCATGGATAGAAGCAGGCCAGCCTGTCTGCCTGCTGAGTTAAAGCCAAACTATAAGCCACACTGAATGCGAGTTTGTTCCAGTGCTTGGTATTTCACATGTTTCTCGCCTCCTCTGCAATCCGTTCGTTGCTGCAGTCCCATGTGATTGCGCCATCAAGTGGCTGAAAGAATAATAGCAAGCAAATGTAATCCTAACCAGCTGAAGATGTCATCATAGACTGCTGTCAGACGCTTAGGTGATCAAGTGGACAACTGGATCTGACCAGTAGGTGATGTGAAAGACCCCTGCTTGAGACACTGGAGAGCAGCTGCCAGTCTGAGCAGACAATATTGACCTTGATGGCAGCTTCATGGATTCACTGTATGTGGGCCACGTGTACAATGTCACTCGTATCTCAGCTCTTAGGAGGCGAGGAGTGGGACAAAGCTACACGAAGCCATCGGGGAGTGCCTGCCTTCTGTAGATTGGCACTACTGTGTATTTTGGACCTAAGACAACCTTGCCAAAAACACAAGTGGAGACGTGGGCAAAACAAGGTGAAAATACAGTGCTCCGTTTATCAAAAACAAATGAACACTGTGAATGCAGTTAACAAGTCTTCTAGCAATGTCTTTAAATAAATATCTTGAAAATATTCAGGTCGGAACCAATGCTCTAGGAAATCTCTGTCAACCAGTAGCCTCCCGGCTATCAAACGTTTCAGTGCATCTCTACAACCGAAGGGAGCTGCGGCTTTGAAAGAGGATGGAAACATGTTTCTAAGCCTAGGATCCACGTCGCTGCATAACTTCCAGTTGTTGATCTGTTATATAAATTTGTCATATCAAGAACTTTGGAACTAGTAGTTTACATTGTAACCTTGATTTATAGCTCATGATGGTTGCATTTTGAGAGTCTGGGAACTTTATGTGTTACATTGTAACTCAGGGTCGGAGCTTTTGACTTTATATTACGGTAAATACTTTTGGAGTTGGTATAAGAAAGCTAATATAACTGAATATATATATTAAGACTACACACTCATTTGGTATTTCAAAATATTTATTTAAAGGCATTGGTATAAGTTGGTATAAGAAAACTTTGATAACTGAATATATATTAGCACTGTACACTCATTTGGTATTTCAAAATATTTATTTAAAGACATTGATATAAGACTTGTTAATGGACATTCGCAGTGTTCATTTGTTTTTGATAAAAACACAAGTGGGGCTGCTGCCAGAAGGGACTGCCAAGTTCTGCTAGTATTCATGACAGCCTGTGTCCAGCCTGTATAAAACGCCAGGGGTAATAAGGAAGGGGACTGAAAATAAAATAGCCAATTTTGAGATGTCCTTGTACAGAGCTACAGCACAGCCTTGTCTGAAGTACCATGTACACTTCTGGTCAGGGGTCATTTCGTAGGAAAAGAGGTGCAGGAGCTCATTAGCATAACTCATTTGCATATGCCACACCCCCTGACATCACCGGAAGTGGGTCAGAAGGCAACACCCACCGCTCAGGCTCCACTGGACTGTTTTGGATTGCTAGCTATTGGGGGGGGGGCGTGGCGGAGATCTGTCCTCACAGAGGAGGGAGAGCTTGTACCTGAAGGTGGGCGCGGGGGGGGGCTCTGCAACTTACCTGGCTGCTTCTTGCTCTGACTGAGGGCTGCTGGGAGCAGGGGGTGGGGCTTGTTGCATGTGCCCGCCTCCTGGGCTCTTTACTGGCGGAGCTCCGCTCCTGTGCGCTTCCGCAGGAAATGACCCCTGGTTCTGGTTGCCATACCTCAAAAAGGATATTACGGAGTGGGGGAAAGCACAGAAGAGGATACTCAGGTTGTTTGAAGGGTTGGAGCATCTTTCCTATATGGAAAGGCTGGAGAGACCAGGATTTTTTCTTTTACAAAACAAAACCGAAACACCAACAAATGGGGGTGGGGGATGACAGAGGTTTATAAAATTATGCATGGGGCAGAGGAGGTGGGTAGAGAGAATTTTTCTTCCTCTCTGGTAACTGTAGAACTCAAGGAAACCCAGTTGCATTGATGACCCTATAAGGCCAAGGACAAAAATTGGTCTTGCTCCATCTTAGCTAGATGGCCAGCTGACAGCAATGGTGATTCTGTGAACTTAGGCAGATCATGCGAGGGAGGGCAGGAAGGGCTGCCTCAGGGCTTAGTTCTCGTGGGCCTTCCTTACATGCCCAGGGAAATGCCAATTGCCACTTTGGGGTCAGGAAGCGATTTTCTCCAGGCCAGTTTGGCTGGAGATCCTGGAGGTTATTTGTCATCTTCTGGGCGTGGAACAGGGCTCACTGGGTGTGTGTGGAGGAGGAGGTATTTGTGAATTTCCTGCATTGTGCAGGAGGTTGGACAAGATGACCCTGGAGGTCCCTTCCAACTCTATGATTCTATGAGTGAAGAACTCGCTGTGACAGTTCTTCAAATCCTTTACCTGTCTTCAGCCTCGTTTGTCAACCCTCCACAGCCATGAATTGTTACGGCTTTAAGAACGGGGTATTTGAGGGGCAACACGGCTGCTGGCGCTTCTCTTTGCTAAGAGTAGGAGCAAAATGACATAGGCTAGCGGGAAGAAGCTGTTGTAAGAAGAACACAGCTGCCAAAGCATGGTGAGACTCCGCATTTCAATCGCAAGCATAATGTACGCCACTATCAGCTGTGTCTGACACCAGGTCAGGGTCTGATACATCAGCCTCCAAGGCTGTGATTTTGCCAAAGACTGGGAAAAGTGATGAATGCGGTAATCCGCTTCTATCATCGCAGCCCAGCACAGAAACCCGAAGATCTGGCCCGGATGGAGGCCATGCCACCAGGCCGAGAAGGCAAAGGTCGCCAGCAGGGGATGAGAGCTACACCTCTGGAATATGAGCCTTCGAAGCCACTGAGCTGTGCTCTTGTTCCATGATCGGGTAAAGACAGAGATCCTGTTGGTGGTTTCCAGGGTCCAGATGTCCGTGTCTAGGAGAACTCCATCAGCAGTCCCTCCTTGTCGGTCATGACCCGGTTCCAGCCCCAAACCGGCGGCGAGGAAGACGGACTCGTCCAGCATCCAGTGTGAATAATAGGCTAGCCTGAAGAACAGGGCCGAAGTCCACAGTGCGGGAACACAACCCAAGTGCCGGCAACCGCTCACCTCATCCGGAGGGGAAGCGTATCCTCTCACGATGTTTTTCACGAGGGCCAGAACCAGAGCTCCCAGGCCTCTCTGCGTGGCAGCCCAGAGAGCGTGCCTGGGATACGGGGCACCAGGATTCCTTACCC